AAAATGTTATCGACAATTTTTATTTTCATTCTATCGTTATATTTTCAACTTATTTTGAACTTGCAAAATCTCGTTAACGAATGGAGAGAACACGCAAGGTTCGATCATAAGAATATTCATATTGATTCTTCATTAGATTCAGAAAAGTATAGGAAAAAAGTTTTTGAATCAAAAGATTCTTCAGGTTCATACAAGTTTCCCAATTGAAAAAAAATATATATCTGCAATGCTAACATAGCCCTTTTCTAATGCCTCAGTAGAACGTATATTTAGTAGTTTAAAAATGTGTAGGACTGACTTGAGATTGAGCACTGGTATAGTTGCAGCAATATTATATACAAAGCAAGGCATAAAAAATAACGGTGATACCTTGTTTGAGCCACAAGAACAAATGTACCAATTGAATTGGAGAACGTAGTTAATTTTTGTACTAAGTACCTGTAAATAGTATGTAGTAAACAATACTCATATCTGTAATAAGAAAACTTTGAGTAGTTTTAACGATTTTTCATTTGTTTTTGAGAAATTTGGTANATGTAGTAAACAATACTCATATCTGTAATAAGAAAACTTTGAGTAGTTTTGACGATTTTTCATTTGTTTTTGAGAAATTTGGTCATTTTTTGTGGCAACACTGGGGTAAGGGTACCGAGTCGATCGTGCTTGGGCAACACGCTTTGTACTCTCGTTCGTCTGAGAAATTCAAGTTGGCAGTTTACAGCTGAAAATAACAATTGTGTAAATAACCAAAAAAATGTTCGCTGTGTAAACCCAGTCTAAGCTGATTCTTACTACGTTTATGCGACAGAATTCATGAATTCTTCATTTCATGCATTCAAAAATGGTCCCATTTATGCATAGTTCGTGTACCCTGCAAAAATCGTTGGACCATGTAGTCTATTTGTGGTAAACTGGAGTACTTACAAAAGTTTCCTCTGTCATGCTGTAGCGGACCAACTCGTGTCTCTGCGCCAGCTTATTGTTTGTTACCCGATAACTGCTCGTGTTTTAACGAAAGGTGATTGAAGTTGAGCATTTGAAAGCACATTTGCATGTCTGGCTGTAGCTGAACGTGTAGAGATGCCCGCTGTTAGTTCTTAGCTCCCAGCATGTTCGGGTTCGAATGCCGTCAGAGGCAACATGTAATTTTTAATTTTTGTCTTGGTTTTTATTAATTTCGAAAAAGCATTTGAGAAGTGAAGAACAAAAGCGTGTACAAAGGAAAAAATATAACAACAATGCCATTGTTAATATGTTGGAGTAGTTTTGTGTTACTCTGATGTAATGCAGGGATGGAGTATATGGTCCTGCCCTAGGACATCACAATGTTAATTGGACCATATTTTTTATATGAATTGTGGTTAATTTTGGAGTATTCCTTGGTCCTTAGGGAGTACTCTTTTCACGCATGCATGGAGTAGTCGCGATTTTTGCAGGGTATTCATAAAATAAAGTGCTTTGAAAAAGTGGCAACGCACTGGCGAGAAACTAAACAGTAGGGTTGTAAGTTTTTGGCCGCCTTTTGAATTTGCAAAAGCCGTTGGTACCAGGCAATAAACCATATTTTATTTAAATTGGTTTTAATATATTTTCAGTTTATTCTATTTGAATTTATTTTATATTTGAACAATTTCACATAACTTTTCCAGTGTTTAAAATCCTGGTTATGCCACTCATGGTTATTAATCTAAAAACATCATAACCCTAGTAAACAGCTGTTTGTGAAACGTGGCGTTGCCGGACTTGCACTTCACGATTTCATGAAATGATGCCGAATTCATGGTTAACTTTAGTGTATAACTGAATTCATGAAATGGTGTTTATGCAGCCAATTTTAACCCAAATTCATGACATGAATTCGGGAATTAAGGCGCTGGCCCAATGTATAGGGCTGCCAGATATCTTGTTGCCAAACCGGGACACTTTAGGGAGGGCCTCTTAAACTTTGTGCTAAACTCGGGAAAATTCAATAAATTTGCGTACAAATTTGCAACGTTCTAATCAAACTTTTTATACAAATTTTTTAAAGGAAGTTTTCCAGCCCATTAAATTTTAGTTGATTTTTGGTATTGTTTTTACTGAGAGTTTCTTCCATACAAACTATGTTCGATAATTCTTTTTATATGGAAGACACTGTCAGCAAAAAAATAAACAAAGGCTAAAAATCAACGAAATTTGCTGGCAACTTCAGACTTGCACTTTATTAATTGGCTCAAAATCTACATTTTCAAAATTGTTCTAAAAGATCTGATTAGAAATTGTGATCTGATGAAAGAGCCTCCGAGCCAATAATTTTGTACGGCACTGTACGTACTTATAAGTCTAGGTTTCATGAAAGAAAAAAATTTAAGTACAAGATAACATTAAAATATCAGTAATATTTTTCGTTGCTGTGAACTTGTTTCAAAACTTCTGTCTTTTCCTTAATATAATTGTAAAACTCTGTGCACGTCATTTTGAACGTATTTAGGTACATATACTAATCATCAACTATTGCTTGTGCAAAGTTCAACTATCTCGAAATGTAACTATTTCACAAATTAAACCGGTGCACTGAGAGAAAGAAGTTTAGAATTAAAAAAGCGTGCTAAATTAAAAAAATACGCATACGAAAGAGCACCAACTCAACTCGTAATACATTTAAGTATACAAATTTTAGTATTTAGTATAGAAATATTTAATTCAAATACGCCCATATTAAATTGAAGCGATTTGCAATTACCGATTGCTTTTTCATAATTAAGTTAAAAAAATATTTAAATTCCATGCTGGTTGTAATGGGAATTGAACCTTGACCCTCTGGAAATTAGCAAATTGTGGCAAGCATCTTCCCGCCCTCAGCTACAGCCAGACATGTAAATGTGCATTTAAATGTTGAGTTTGAATCAACACCACGCGTGCGTGTTATGAAAGTATTATTTTTAAATACGAACATTTTTAAACAATAATCAAATAGAAAATATTCCTGTTTACTATGCGTTATTTCCCTCGGTGAATTCATAACATTTTTCTGAATATTACAACGTGTTTTTTCCCTTATTGTAGTGTTTTTTCAACTTTTATTAAAATTTATGCAATCAAATCAAAAACCGGGACACTAAAACGAAACCCGGGACATTTTAAGGTTGGACCGGGACACCGGGACAAATAGTCTAAAACCGGGACATGTCCGGGAAAACCGGGACGTCTGGCAGCCCTACCAATGTAGGCTTGCTTTGCACGCCTTGCTTGCTTTAATTTGCTTTGATTTAGTTCAAAAACTCGTTTGGCCAAATGGCGGCTTGGAACGCTGTCACAGCAACCAGCTGTGTAGGTGAAAAGTCAAGGTCTGCTCCCTTACACTAAGAATAATTTTCCCACAAAATTCCAGAAAATTAATAAAAAAAGAAATACAAAATAATATCTTCCGATTTATTTTTAGATTAATGCAAATTAATTTTTGCATTTCAAAGGAATGATAATAATTATGCATACATATATAACTACATATATTACATTTATTAAAAACAACAAACCCAAAAAAAATCGATTTTTCAAGAGACGACTGACCAGTAGTTTGTTATCATAAACATCGCTAGCTTTGTGTGAAAAGTTGCTATGTGTACATTTTATGAAACCTCATATTTTGATTTAGTAAGCAAGAGAAATTAAGGATTAAGGTACTTGTTTCATTTTTTCTCGTTTATATTCAATGAGAGACAAATTTTCTAAATCAAAAAGAGGCCCCGAATATCCGATAAGGCCAAAATAATGCGAAATCTTTTAATAAAGATCGAATCCTACTGATTCGTATGTAGTTTTCAATGGGAGACAAATTGTCTAAGTCAAAAAGAGGCCCCGAATATCTGATAAGGCCAAAATAATCCGAAATCTTTTAATAAAGATCGCAACCTACGGTTTCGTATGGAGTTTTGCTTTGCTTTAAACACGCAAAATCTTGTATTCAAAGTTCCTGTAAAATTTGTAGGAATTGACTTAGCAAATTTTTACTTTAAGCCAGCGACATGTTAAATATAGATATGGAAACATAGAATCATTTTTATTGAACTTTGAATTACTTATATTATACATATATATGTTTTTAATTACATAAGCAAATTTTTGTTCATAAAAGCAGCACTTAGTTTGAATTTATTTAGAACGGGGACATACCTTTTTGTCAAAAGCCTACAAAACGCTTTCAAATAAAACATTTGCTTATTTGAAACTTTGAGGCGCTTAAAGCAAGTGAAGAAAAGCTGCCATTTGGGCATACGTTTTAGTATATCCCAAATAACTTTTGACAGTTCTCAAAGCAAAGCAAGCCTGCATTGGGCCAGTACCTTATGCCTACGCATGAACGTAGTATCTGTCACGCGCCAAGGATAAAGTAGCGGCACCCACTTTGCCTTCTAAACATCATGATACACACATGCATACATATGTATGTATATACCCCAAGAATGATAGAATACAAGATTGCGCCAATCGAGTTGAGAGCAACTGGCCGTGACGTCAATAAATACCAGAATGAGAGAGCAAGACGAACTCGACAAGAAAAAGAGGAAGCATCGAACAAAAGGCAGTGTTGCCAAATTTTGAATTTGAAAAAGCACCAAATTTTTATTGGTGTATTTTATAGACTTTATATGCATACATAATTTTATTGTAAGGATGCCGATTCAAATTAATAAAAATCAATGGTTCTTGCACAACGGTCGATTTCTTCTGGCATGATTGAAGGTGCTGCACATATTTCGTTGTCGCTTATGATTGTCACTGTACCATGATTTTGTTAAAATTTTTGTAAAGTTGCTTACCACACTTACGATTGCTATGAATTTTGCTTCCATTTTTTTAAGATTTTCTAATTTGGTGTCTTCAAACTAAAAACAAAAGCACCAAAAATGCGCCAAGCACCAAACTCAAAAATTATCGCGTTTTGAATACCCACTAAATTTGGTGCGAAAAGCATGAAGTTGGCAACAGGGAATGTAAACAAAAGTATTTTATGACGTCAGCGATTAGGTGGATGCTGTCAAATCGACGAAGAGAGGGTTAGCGGTCCGCGAATGGCGCGACCTTTATTTTCTGGATCGTGTATATACCCTGCAAAAATCCTTGGACCATGTAGTCTATATGTTGTATATTGGAGTACTTACAAAAGTGTTCCTCTGTAATGCTTTAGCGGACCAGCTTATTGTTACCCGATCACTGCTCGTTTTTTAACGAAATGTGTTGAAGTTGAACATTTGAAAGCACATTTGCATGTCTGGATGTAGCTGAACGTGTAGAGATGCTCGTTGTTAGTTGTTAGCTCCCAGCATGTTCGGGTTCGAATGTCGTCAGAGGCAACATAATTAGGGATAAATCGATACCATCAAAGTGTTACTCAAATCAGTACTTTTACTTGTATCAAACAAGGTATCGATACCTACTCAGTATCGGGAAAGTATCGAGTACTTGTTCATATAACTACAATTTTGCATATTTTTCAAAGTTACTGTATTATTTTTTTCACAAAAAATATGAATTTTTACAAGATTATTTATCTATTAATGTTTTTCATCCAAAAATTTAAGAAAACAATTATTTTTGTATAGTATTTGATTTCATTTCGTCGGCCGCTGTGGTGTAGTGGTACGCAGTGCGCGCTTCCACTACGCAGCACCTGGGTGCAAACCCTGGTCAAAGCAACATCGCAAAAAAAAATATAGAAAAAAGGTTTTTTCTTAACAGCGGTCGTCCCTCGGCAGGCAATGGCAAACCTCTGAGTGCATTTCTGCCATGAAAAACAGCTTCCATAAAAATACAATCGCCGTTCGGAGTCGGCGTAAATAGGGATGCAAGTTTTGGGGAGTAACATCTATACAACGATGTTTCGATGCATCGGAAAAATGAACATCGATGATAAAATACATCGCCAGAAAAACATCGATATATCAATGGTTTCCGATGTTTCGAAATTTGTTAGGAAAATTTAATACTTTTCAATTCCAACTCTCTGTAATTCAGTTATTGCCTCTATTTATTTACCATTCCTTCCCTATAAATATAATAGAAATGCATGCCGTCGTAAGTTCGCTGAGCCTAAAGTTCTAAGGCCCAATTTCGTTGAAATTTCAACGGGATCCCGGTCCTTTTTTAATGACTAAGTATGCATTTTTAATATCGAAAGATAAGAGTAAACTCGAAATTTCTGAATGTTCCTTTTAAAAGAATAAATATTAAAATTCATGGCCAGTCAAAAAATTTTAGGATGTGGATGTGGATAGGAATTCGATGTTAAAACATCGCTGAAACTGGCATCGATGTATCGTCAATTTAGCGATTTTAGGAAGTTGTAAACATCGATGGCAAACATCGAATTTTGAACCGATATTATCGATGTTTCAAACACATCGATGCATCGTTTGCATCCCTAGGCGTAAAACTGTAGGTCCCTCCGCTTTGTGTGACAATATCAAGGCGCACGCCACAAGTCGGAGGAGAAGCACGGCCAAACACTAACATACGTGTAAGCGCCAATCTATTATTATTATTAGCAGTGTTTTTTTTTACACGCATATACATCTACGCTTCATATGTAAAAAAAAAAACAATCATCGACAATTTCCCTTTCAAAACAAGTAATTTTAATTTTATCGACAACTATGCATAAACGCACATAAAGTTTGTCGCTTAGAGCTCCATACAATTTTTAAGCTCATATACGTATGCGTGTAAAAAAAACGCGCCTATTATTTGATTTCAAAAACAATAGAATTTATTTTGACAAGATTAATAGATATCGTCGATGTTTTGGCAATTGCAAAACCGCCTATCTTACGGCACTCAAATTTTACAGGAGACAGAAAAGCGGTTTATTCTTCGAAGGCATTGCCTAGCTATTATTTTACAAATCGGTTTTTTTAATATCGATTTAACAATTTTTATGCATAAATCTTGATGCCTAGATTTCAGGGTTACCAAATCTCAATTTTGCCAACACGGCGATTTAGGTGGTTTTGCAACTGGTCGATAGGCGGTTTTGCAAAAACATCGAGTTTTTTCATATAAAATAAGTTTAAGAAAAGAATTCCTTTTTTGTTATATTTCGCAAAAACATTAACTTTTCCAAGTGCTTTCCTAAAAAGCGGTTTCGAGAGTTTGATATATGTAGTTATACCTGTTTTTGAGAAAAGCCTCTCGCAAGGGACAGATGACCCAATAACCATTATATATAGACGGGCTTGCTTATATGTATAGCTGCGGAAATGTAGTGCGCATATCTTCCCACTACTCTAATGGGTTGCTTTTCAAATATGATACTGAAGCATAATATCTTAGGGTTTACACCGGACAATACTATCATGACAATAGCAATACATGCACGCTTTTTCACTAATACATGCATACATTTCCATACATTGCGTTTTTGACAACTAATACGTATTTCTTTATTGTCTTGACAGCATTTTCCAATGTAAACGCGCTGTAAGTTTTGCGCATCCGATACAAGTACTTTGTCTTCGATACCTATAAGTATCGAGTACAAAAATACTTGGTAAATTGAGAAAAGTGTCGAGTAACTATATACTTGGATTTACTTGTATCGATTCATCCCTACATGTAATTTTATATATATTTTTTTTTGGTTTTTATTAATTTCGAAAAAGCATCTGTGAAGTGGCGAACAAAGGCGTGTAAAAATGAAAAAATATAACAACAATCCCATTGTTAATATATTGGAGTAGGTTTTTGCTCTAGGACATCGCAATGTTAATTGGACCATATTTTTTATGTGAATTGTGATTCATTTTGGAGTACTCCTTGGTCTTTAGGGAGTATTCTTTACATGCATGTATGGATTTTTGCAGGGATTCAACATTTGAACGCAAATGTATTTGTTTGGGTGTAGCTGAGTGCGCAAAGATGCTTGCCACAATTTGTGGATATCCAGAGATGGTCAGGGTTCGAATTCCACTGCACGCAAATAAAATATATATATTTTTTTAGTTTTTGTATTGATTATTCACTTCACGGATGCTTTTTCAGGATTAACGCGGTCATTTTAATATGCGCGTAATGGAATTGAATATTTACCAATATACAGTACTTTCGTTGACGGTTATAGTTAGATCAAGTACGTTTCTATTTGATTTTAATATATTTTTCTCTCAGTGTATGCAGACCTTTTTGTGGAATTTGGCTACCTTTTTAGGAAGTGCGATTGAATTCTATCCCTTTTCCTCCTGCTTCCCAAAACCATCCCTGTGGGTGGGAGTGTCTAATTTAAAAAAAAAGTTCCTTACAAAACCTTTAATAACACTATGCGACAGTCAAAATCGGGATGGGATGAAACCAACGGGAAATGTTATATCGGTCAAAAACAAGTTATACGTATCCCGGCGTTTCGCTGGGTCACGTCTAGGAATCGAGATATATATATAACTATCATATAGGGGATATTGTCACCTTTGACATAACTCGAGAACCACTAGTCCGATTTTGCTCAAACAAATTTAAAAAAATTAAAAATTACAATTCCTTTAATCTGTTCATATAACGTTTTTCTATATAATCAACAGTTTTGCCGGTAAAAATAAATGTATGAAGAAAAAAAAAATTTTTTGCCTAAAATATTAAATTTTTGAGGAAAATCGGACTAGTGGTTCTCGAGTTATGTCAAAAAAAGACCACCAAAGGTGACAATTTCCCCTATATGATAGTTATATATATATCTCGATTCCTAGACG